AGGGGGGCGGGCGGGTTTGCTTGGTTGGTCTTTGGTTTGGGTAATGAGAGGGGCAAGGGGGGAGTGGGGAGGGGGTGGCTCGGTGGGCAGGTACAGTTCACTATGTTCCGGTTTGCAAGCGTACGTGCAAGGGGAAGGTGTTGGAGGGACGGGAAGGGGGGGAGGGGGAGGTGGGGGAGGTGGGGAGGCTGAAGGGAAGGGGGGGAAGAGGGGGGGGGGGGTGGGGAGGGCGGCTGCGGCGTCAGCCCAAAATTTCCCCCACACGGCCAAGCTCTGGCGCGGGTGCCTCCATGGAAGGCAGAGTAGCAGGGAGAGGGTGGGCACGAGGGGGAGGGGAGTGGAGAGGGGGTGGGAAAGAGGGGGCGAGTTGGGGAGGCAGGGAAGGGGGCAGGAAGGGGGAGGGCGAGTGCAGCGGGTGGGGAGGGCGGGCAAAGGGTGGATGGGCAGCGGGCGGGCGGCGAGCGGGAGCGTGGCGGGGACTGATGGAGATGTTGCGGTGCGGTGACCGGGGGGACAGGCGTCTGTGGGGAGCACTGTGAGGGTTGCACGTGCGCTGTCTGGGGCCGCTGCGGTGCGGGCTGTGCCGCGCGGGGAGGGCCCTGGGGCGCCTGCTGCTGTGGGGTCGATGTCCAAGTTCTCGGACCCTGAGATCGCGAGCGAGGCGGCGCTGACAGCGGCAGCGGCGGAGCAGGAGAAGGCGCTGATTGCGTTTGGGGAGTCTATTGTGGCGATGCTGCCCAAGTGGGTGCCGCACGCGCTGGTGCAGCACGGCGAGCTTGTGCTCCACACGCCGGTCGACCACGTGTACGAGGTCATCGAGTTCCTGCAGCTGCACTCGAACGCCGAGTTTACCAACGTGACGGACCTGACGGCGGTTGACTACCCCGAGCGCGAGAAGCGGTTCGAGGTGGTGTACAACCTGCTCTCCGTCAACCACAACGCGCGGATTCGGGTCAAGACGTTTGTGGACGCGCTGACGCCCGTCCCGTCGATTGTTCCGCTCCACAACGGTGCCAACTGGTTTGAGCGCGAGACGTGGGACATGTACGGCATCTTCTTTGCTGGCCATCCGGACCTCCGCCGCATCCTCACTGACTACGGCTTTGAGGGCTACCCGATGCGCCGCGACTTTCCGCTCTCGGGCTACGTCGAGGTCCGCTACGACGACGAGCTCAAGCAGGTTGTGGTCGAGGACCTCGAGCTCACCCAGGAGTTCCGCAACTTTGACTTTAAGTCGCCGTTTGAGCAGATTCCTGCCGCACCGCACGCCACGCCCAAGATTGCGTCGTCGCACATCACCCGCATCTCTGCCCCGGATGCCGCCGAGCAGAAGGAGGCCTGATGATCAAATGAAGGAGAAGAAGTGAAAGAAGAAGGTTGAAGCCCTGCCCTCTTTGGGCCAAAGCCTTGCAGGCTGCTATGCATGATCCCCTTCCCGCTCGTCGCTGACGGGGCTTCGATGGAGCCTTGGTCTCCGAGCACACAAGTGTTCCAAGTGCACAAGTGTTTGCAGTTCTGAAGTGTGCCATTCCTGGTGGGCAGTTTTAAAACCAGCGCGTTTTTCACGACACCTTCTTTGCCATCATCAGGCAACTCCTACCTACCCAACACAAACACGATGAGCTTCTCCACCTCCTCTCGCAAGGCCAGCGACGGCAGCGCACGCCGTGCCGCCTACCGCCGCACCCGGGTCAAGGCCGGATACCAGGCCAAGGCCGAGCCTGCGCCTCACGCCGCGGATGGGCCCGACGGCGCCAGCAACTCGGCTTCCGCGTCTGCGACAGCGACTGTGACTGCCTTTGATGCGCAGGCGTTCATCGCCGCGCTGCCGAGCAACAGGAACTCGCCGCGCGCCAAGGACAAGGCCGTGCGGAACGTGTTCAACTCGTTTTTCAACGACTTCCTCAAGTCGCGCAACAACTGGAGCCAGAGCGACATCGCGGCCGAGGCTGGAAAGACGAAGTCTGGCAACGGCGGATCGGTCTCGCACTTTCTCAAGAACAACCGTCACACTGCGTGGATCTTTTCCGTCTTTCTGCGGCTCGCCCGCGAGGCGGCCGCCAGCCACCCGCACGACTTTGCCGACTGGGCCAAGCCACACGTCACCGTGGTGATGGGCTGAAGGCCAGGCTCCAGTCAGCCAGGCAGCCCACCACAGCAGGACAGTTTTCCCAGTAAATGCCATACGATGGTATCTCCTTGGAGGCACCAGTGCAGGCGCTGACTTACTCCGCAAGGTCATGCTCGTCCAGAGTCCGCGCCCAGAACAGCGCCTGGAGGACGGCGTCGGCGAGATCGTCGGCTTTGTCGGAGCTCTCGAGAAGATCAACCCAGTGCAAAGCGTGCGGATCGTGATCCATGGCGCGCAGCTCAGCCTGGGCCTGGGCTACCACCGCAGCTTTGCGCGCGGCATACGACGCGATCTTGGGCATGCCCATAGAGGCGCGAACGACCGACGGCTGGAGGAAGACGACGCGGGGTGGGCCGTCTCCGAGCGGCAGGGCGCCCGGCGGGGTGAAGAGGGCTGTGAGCGCAGCCTGAATGACGCGCATCTCGCCCTTGAACTGGTTCTCGACAACAACCCACGACATCGGGCCATGCTTGGCCAGGACGGCGTCGCGGAAGGCTGCCGCGCGGGCAAGGATGTGATAAATCTCCGATGAGACAAGGCCCTTGACCCCGCGCGGCAGCGCGGTCTTGCGCAGCGAGGCCTGCCGGCTCTTGCGGGCGCCGAGAAAGTCGGCGTTCTCCAGCGCCGTCACGCACCGCGTCTCCAGGTTGTACACGCAGTGGGCAAAGTTGCGCGTCCCCACATCGACCGCCAGCACCGTCCGCGCCGACCCGTCGCCCGCCGCTGCGTCCACCACCGTCCGCCGGCCCACTACCGCCCGAGGCGCCAGTTCCAGCCAAGCCCGGGCGGCGCGCAGGCCGAAGCGCATCATGACAAGAAAGAGAGAGAGAGTGGAGTGGTGGAGTGGTGGCAGTGGTGGCAGTGGTGGCCTGGGCTGTGGGTGGGTTGGGAGGCACACTCGTCGCGGCCAGAGGCAGGGCATGTCGGGGACCATGGAGGAGAACCATACGGCAGAGGTCGAGATGCTGCACTCGGTCAAGGTGGCACTCAAGGGGGCTGTCCTGGCCGTGGAGACCATGGGTAGGTTGCGGCAGGGGAGGAGGGGAGGGGGGAGGGGGGGGGGGGGTAGGGGGAAGGTGTAGTGGAGGGTGGACGGAGGGACAGAGGGACAGAGGAGCGGACAGAGGAGAGCTCAATGGGCACGGATGGCAAGAGGTGGAGAGCCTCTCCTCCCCTCCCCCCCTCCCCCTGCCTCATGCCGCTTCACTCACCCTCCCCCCGTTCACACGCGCCACGCAGAGGCCGACCTGCGCAAGGTGGCGGCCAACATGGACAAGCTATCCGGGGCCAACGAGAGCATGGGCACGATCACCAGCGCGGTGGCCACTCCGCCGCAGCTGCAGCAGTAGCGCGGGCATTTACTTCTTGCGCATGATGTCCGAGAAGCGCTTGACGTGGCGGATAAAGTAGTCGCAGTAGCGGCGGGCGACCTTGGTGTCAGCGATGGTCACCATGTCACGCTCGAGGTAAAAGGTGACGTCCGACGACGAGGCGATGGTGCCGTCGAGCGGGGCCATGGACTCCTCTTCGTGGATGAGGTTGCACGTCTTGTGCTTGTAGCACATGAGGAGGGTACGGAACTCGGCCTCATCGATGGAGAGGAAGCCGGCGAGCTTGTCGGTGGCCATCGAGGTGTAGAGCTTGAGGTACGAGCGGACGCGCGGGACCGAGAACTGAGCGCGGACGTCGCGGAGGAAGAGCGAGAGCTGGGCCTGGAAGGCCGAGCCGTACTTGCCGGCCTCGGCGTCGAGGTCACCAAAGTCGGGCACAGCCGGGTTGATAAACTTGGGGCACGCCCGCGAGAACGCCTCCTCAAAAGCCTTGACGTCGCCGTTCTGCATCCGCGTCATGCGGTCGGCGTGCTTGTCGCGGAGCGTCTGCTGCAGCGACTCATCGATCCGCCGCGGCGAGAGCGAGATCGTCGCCGCCAGGAACGTGTACATCTGCTCATTCATCTTAAGGATCGAGTCGTACTGGTACGAGCGGGTGTGGAACTGCTTGGTCCGCGTGATGTAGTTGAGCGCTGTCGACCACGAGCCGATGGCGTCGACGTACCGCCGCATCATCATGTAGCCAAAGCCGAGGTAGTAGAAGAGCGAGATGTGGCAAGCCGTGACGAGCGTGTAGTACGCACGCTTGTCCGTGATGTCGATCGCCGCAATCGACTGCAGCGCAAGCCGGTAGTCGCCCAGCAGCGTGTGCAGCCGGAGCAGGCCCACCATCGAAAAGTAGCCCAGCATCTTGTACAGGTTCGTCGAGCCAAAGGTCATGCCGGGCTCGTCGCCCGAGATGACAAGGTCCGGGTTGGCGCGCTCGACCTTGAGCACCTCCTCCACGTTCGACTTGGCCACAAAGCCGTACAGCTTGGCCAGCACGTTCGTCACAGACCACATCTCCGGGTGGTCCGAGAGTGCCGCCACGTCCTCGGCAGACAGGTTGCGCGTCTTGTGCCGGAACTGGCAGAACGACTGGTACTGGTAGATGAACTCGTCCACCATGTCCCAGATCCACGCCGGCGGGATCTCGTGCACGCCCAGCGGGAGCTCCTCGGGCGAGCCGACCCCGAGGAGGTGGTCAAAGAGCTTGCAGTACGCCTCGTACGACGCAAACCGCTGCTCGAGCGTCGGCGTCAGGTTGGCGTAGATGTGCCGGTAGTAGATCTCCGAGTAGAACATGAGGAACACCTCGTCGCTGCCCACAAGCTCCACCACAGCCTCCACAGGCGGCCACTCGCGGTTGCGGAAGTACTTCTTCGACAGCGAGGAGAACGTGTTCTCGTACAGCGCGTTGATCTCATACATGTTGCCCTCCACAAGCGCACGCCGGAAGTAGAGCAGGAACGACCGCACAGCCTCGGGCATGGTGTACTCGCCCGACTCGTCGTAGCCGTCTGCGCCCCGCCCCTGCGTGAGTCCCCCTGTCCCACTTCCCCTCTGTTCCTCCCCTTGCAAGTCCCTCACCCCCCCCTTCCCCCCCCCCGCCCTCCGCTCCCCCCCCTCCCCCTCCACGGCGCCCCCCTCCGCTGTGGGATGGCCTCGCCTCCATTAAAATCGCCGCTCCGTCGGCACCCGCCCCCCTCCCCGGTCCCTCCCCCCGGCCCGCCGCACCACCCCATTAACGTACCATACTCGTAGTCGTCGTAGTCGTCGTCAAAGTTCATCTTGGGGACCGTGCGACGTGTGTACCGTTGCTGCCGTCGGTAGGGACCGACCCAGTCCCTGCGGTGGTGGCTACGCAGCCGACGGCCGACGAATCGACCGACGACGAATCGACCGACGACGGCCGAGCCGGGCTCGTCGCTGCTGTGGTTTTTACCTGCGACCGATCGGCAGCATGGCGGGCAGGCGGAGGCAGGCGGCAAGGTTTACGGGCGGTGCGGCGGTTTCGGCTCGAAGCCATCAATGTGGGTCACAATGTGGACCGAGCCGAGGTGCGGCCCTGTCGAGCACGAGAGATCCTGCTCGGTGACCCAGCCGCCGCCATCGTCGTCGCTGCCGTTGAGAGGCGGGCCACGAAGAAGATCAAGGCCAGCGAGCGGGCGGGCCGGCGACGGCGGCCGGCGCGGCGCCAGCAGGTGCGCCGTGGTGCGGTCGGGCGAGAGGCCGGCAAGGCGGCGCCGCTCGGCGCGGGCGGCCAGCGTCCGCGGCGAGAGCACAGGTGCCGACGTTGGCGAGACTGCAATGGGCCCAGCGTTGGCGGCAGTGTTAGCCAGCGTCACTGGGTCCGCCCTGTATGCCGCTGCCGCCGCCGCCTCTGCCAGCAGTGCATCGCTCGGCGACGGCGGCGCAGGGTGCCGACCTGGCCGCTCTGCAGCAGGTGCAGCACACGCCCGCAAGCAGCCGACCGCAAGCACCACCAGGCACAGCACGCCCATGGTCACGCCCACGGCGACCACAACGAGAAGAGGCATCAGCGCCGAGGCGCCTGGCCACAGCAGAGTGTGTGAGAGTGGAGTGGGCCTGCGCCTGCGCCTGCGCCTGCGCGTGCACGCAACGCAGCTCAAGCACGCTGCACACGCTGCTGCACACGCTGCGATGGCGAGCAAGTGGCGCTGGGAGTGGCGGTTTACTGTGCGTACTAGCCTCCCTCCCTGCCTGCCTGCCTGCTTGCCTGCCTGCCTGCCTGCCTGCATTCAACACCGTCACAGGCCCGACGGCCAGAACACAGGCGGCGCATCGAGCGGCGCGAGGTGCTCGGAGATGATGCCCTCGACCAGTGCAAGGCCGGCATCGAGCGGGGCAATGGCGGCGGAGCCGCTGGCGACAGCGTCAACAACAGCAAGCATCGAGCGGAGCTGCGCGAGCGAGGCTGGGCCCAGGAGTGTCGTCCCCACGCCGGCATGATGGGCGGCCAGCGATCGGTAGAGCGCCACGTCTGGGAGCGAGGGGAGGTCTGCGGCAGCGAGGGCCTCGACCGCAGCGGCCACGGCGTCCGAGACCGCAGCGTAGTGGCGCGGCTGGCCGTGGAGCGGGTGCCACGGCTGCGGGCCCTGCGGGGTGAGGAGGCCCATGCCGGTAACCGAGGCGTGGAACAGGTGCGGCGCAACAAGACACTCGCCGATCGCACCGCGGACCGAGCCCGGTGCATCACTTTCGAGCCGCGCGTCCAACAGCGTGGCTGTGGCGTACGCTTGGACAGCGTCCGGCGACGCATCCCGTGTGGCCCGTGCAAGCGTGTCCAGCGGGTAGCCGGCCACGCCGATCCGCGTCGCCGGGCTGATGGCCGGCGAGCTCCCGTCGTCGCGCCACGTCCTGAGCCGCGGCAGCACCTCGTCGACAAGCGTGGCGTAGTCGAGGAACTCGATGTCGTGGACAAGGACCACGTCGAGCGGCCCGCCGAGCGCCGCCGCTGACGTCGCCAGCGACGCCGCCATCGCCTCGGCCGTCGTCTCGTGCGTCGACTGCCCGTTCGCGTCGCGCCCGCGGCAGACCTTGGATGCCACCGTATAGCTGCTCCGCGGCACGCCCGACGCTGCCAGAGCCTTGCCCAGCACAGCCTCTGACGACTGCTCTGCTGCGTAGAACGGCGCTGTGTCAAAGTGGGTGATCCCGGCCGCCAGCGCCTCGGCCACAATAGCGTCAGCCTCGTCCTGCTCCAGCCCGCCACCATACACCCCGCCGAACGCCGCAGTCCCCAGGCCGATCCTTCCTATCTCCCGCTGTGCCATGACGGGTCTGATACGTGGGAGAGGCGTGGGAAGCGTGGGGAACGGAGAGGACGTGTGGGCGTGCGTGAGTGTGTCTGTGTCGTGTGTCGTGACGCGCGATCAGGCAGGCCGGGCACATTTTGGATTGCACGTCGTTGCCAACGGGCCGTTCCACCCCGATTGCACTGACGCTTTTCTGTGGAAGGCGTCTGATCGCTTTGACAGACCTGTTTACGAGCTCGCGACGACGTAGGGTGACGGCTTGCAGTTGCCGAGGGCGATTTCCAAGGTCTCTCCGAAAATCAGGCCATTCACCATCCACAAATATTGGAACCATATACTTATATAAATATAGGACTATATATTTATCACATTATCAATATAAATCACAAACTCCAAAATATTCACAATATTCACAATATATTAATATATTTACAGTATTTTGAGCGCTTTTATTTAACTTTATTTGTCATGGTGCCTGTTTCATCACGTCTTCATCGCTTCTTGGGCATAGCGTTCCAGGAACGGTCGCAGGACCGTTCTGGGACCGTTCTCAGAACGGTCCTGAACTTGGCCTTTAGCACCCTTCTCCCCCTCCTGTCCGCATGCCGTAGTCTTTACGGAATCCCCTTGTGTACAAGTTGTAGGAATGTCGTGGGTACACACATGCCAAGTGTAGACCCTATGCGCTGCGCATTGCGCATGCCAGGCGTCGAAAACCGCGCGGCGTCGTGTTGAGCCGCCCGCCACTGGCGACGGCGAACGGGAACGTTCTCCGTACGGTTGCAGAGGGCACGAGAACAATAGCTGTACATATGCGCGCGCGTACACAGCTGTGATATGCGTGATATGCGGCGGTAGGGGGTGGCGGGTCTGTCCCTTGCTCCCCTGCCATCTCCTGGCGAACGGCCACGACGACGTCGCCACCCTCTTGGCGAGCAGCGGGCTGCTCCCTCCCATGAATCAACCGATCTTCACCTTCTCACGCCAGCCCGCGCTGCCACGCTCTCGGGCATCGCCGGCTCGGGAATGAGTTCGACACACGCCTCGCTCGTGCTCGCAGGTGGTATTCACAACACGCCTGCACTTGCGATCCAAAGCAACGTGGCGGCACTGTCGCCGGCAGTCGGCCCGACCCGGACGTCTGCATCATCACGCTCTTCCTCATCGGCTCGGCCATCCTCTGCCGCCGTAACCTTTATGACTCAAGGAGCGGTGCCATGATGTCATGATGGCCTGGCTGTCTTTGACCCCAGCAACAGAGCGTAGGTGCCCCAGGTGTGTTTTGGCACAGCACAGGCGGCGGTTTGTCGGCTTCGAGTGCGAGATACTCACAGCTCGACGCATCAGACCAGAAATCCTAGGCGCAAGATCCCTCAAGAGATGCGCTGCGAGCACGACTTCAGAGAGTGCGAGATACTCACAGCTCGACGCATCAGACCAGAAATCCTAGGCGCAAGATCCCTCAAGAGATGCGCTGCGAGCAGGACGTACGCGACATAGTGCCCTCCACGAGACACGTACGTTTCGACGGTGTGGGCGCAACGCCGCGATCTTATTCACGAGTGGATGTAGACTCGCCGACTGCACCCTGCACATGGTCAAGACACACCATATTGCTTTCAATGGCCACTACACGGCGTGAGGTAGACAAGTGGGAGGGATCGCGACACAAGGCAGCGCCTACAGGACCGTTCCCCGACCGTTCTCTGGACCGTTCCCCGACCGTTCGCAAATGCGACACTCTCGGTTGCCGGCCGAGCAGTCGCTCCGCTGGCTCGACGGCTTGAGATTTTCCTCGCATTTACTGTGCTGGCCATCTTTGCCTCCACATCGTGCCAATTGGCAAGGGACTCACGTGTACATGAGCGCCCGTCGATAGCTCGCTTACACACGAGATCAAGGTAAGAATTGAGCGCCCAGGCGCCCAGAAGACCGCCCGTCGTCGTCGTCGTCGCGCATCGTCATCAAAAGGGTGGGCGGGCGGGCGGGTTCCCGCTCCGTCGGAGCCGACTGTGTCGACGCCATCGGAGCTCTTAGCGAAGCAAGGTGTCAGCCGCTTCGCTTCGCTCAGCCCGCCGTGAGTGTTAGCGACTCGTAGCAGTCGCGGCAACTGTTCCCCGACCGTTCCTAATATATAGCTCGAGCGTCCCCCGACCGTTCGCCAAAATAGCGTTCTGGGACCGTTCCTGGAACGCCATCCCATGAGCACGATGTGTCCACTCTGCCTTTGGTGTTCAGTCACCTCGCCCGCATCCGTCCTCGCCACGCATCCCACACCCCTCATCGGTCCCCACGCCACATCCATACACCCAGGGCATGCATCCCTCACTTGCTTCACCGCCGTATCAAGCTCGCCGGGCAGTTGATCAGCCTCCGGGAGCCTCGTCTCCCTGCTTTCCGGCGGCTGAGCTCACGATCCCGTCTACACCTCTCTCGGCCATGCCGCGCAAGGCAACACCCCGCACGCCAGCGGCAGCAGCGGCAGCAGCTGGACCTCGTCCTCCTGCAGCTGCAGCTGCGGCGTCGGTGCCCCTCCCGCCGCTGTCGGAGGAGACACTGGAGCTCATGGCGCCGACAGCGACTGTCGGCGTCCTACCGCCGCCGCCGCCTGCGACTGCTGCTGCGGCGGCGGCATCGTCCAAGCGGCCGCTGCCGCGGCTGGGCTCTGCGGCCACACGGGCGGCGCTTGCGGCGGCCGCAACAGCAGCCTTTCCACCTCCGCCAGGTATTCCACATGGCTCTGCGGCGTCGGCGCTGGCGTACCTGCATGCGCATGAGACGCTGGCTCGGGTTGCGGCGTCCAAGTTTGCGGCGGCGACGACGGCCGAGCTCGACGCGCTCGCCGAGTACGTGGCTGCGCCGCATCTCCAGACCGGCTCGGCCTCGCCGCTTCATCCGCTGCGGACGGCGCTGCTGCTGCTGGGTGTCGGCGCGGCCGATCATGGCTCGGTGCTGCGTGCACTGCGCGCGCGGCTGGCGGCGTCGGCCACCACCCACATGGTGGTCCGCCTCAAGCCGGCCGACGTGCTGACACTCAAGGACGCGCTGCGGGCACTGCTGGGCGAGGCGAGCCAGGCGCGGTTCCGCGACCGATCGCTCGAGCCGAGCGCGCGGTCGGCGGCGATGGTGGCGGCGGCAGGCCGGGCCAAGCCGCTGGCGTCGTCGGTCATTTCGCGGGCCTCGGTCGATTCGCTCGTTGCGTGGTACACCAGCGCCTACGGCGAGAGCGATGCTCAGTTTGCCGCGCTTGCGAGCGGTGGGGCCGTCGAGGAGCGGCGGAGTGCCAAGCGGGCCAAGCGGCTCAACGCGTCGGCCGTCGGTCGCGACGCCGATCCCGGGCCGCGCCCGCCCATTGTCATTGTCATCGAGCGCTTCGAATCGTTTGCCGCTGCCGTTCTCGTTCCGTTTGTGCGGGTGGTGGCGCAGATGGCAGCGTCGGTCCCGGTTGTCCTTGCCTTTGCGCTCTCGACCTCACCGGACGCGCTGGCCAAGCGGTTGCCGCGCTCGATGCTCTCGCTCCTCTCGACCGAGTCGTTCTCGTTCCGGTTCTCGGGCGAGGCTGTTGTCGCGCTGGTCAACACGCTCGTGTCGGGCAAGGCCATGCCGTACGTCCGCCCAGCTCCGGCCGCGCTGCACTACCTCATCTCGTTCCTCGACGGCGCCACGGTCTCTCTCCAGGCCACGCTCCGCGTCCTGAGGCTCTTCCTCCTCACTCACTTTGCGGCCAACCCAGGCGGAGTAGCCACCATTCTCGACGCGCCAAGCCATCCGGCCCGAACGGCCTACCTGACTGCGCTGGAGGAGCTGCTTGCCGCCGACCCAGAGCTGGCTGACGAATACGAAGCAGCGCTCCCGGCCGTTCTTACCACACTGCCGTCGTGGGGCAAGCGCCCTGCAGACCATGCTACGCTTCAGAGCGTGCTGGCTGACGCGCACGCCCGCGCCGTTCACGCCGACACTGTTGTCGACGTCCTCACCGCGGTCATGGTGTACCTTCCGACACGGCTGACCCAGTCGCCGCTTGCGCTCCGCGCTGCGCTCCTCTCTGGCGGCCTCAAAGCCTCCGAGTGGTTTGCCGAGCTTGCGCAGGCGATTTCGTTCCTCGCTGCACCGGCGATCGAAGCTCTGGCCAACGGCGCGCTCGCCACGCTCCGTGCGTCGACAACTTCGCTCCCGCTTGGCATTGAGGCGCTCGAGCGGATCGCGGTCACCGCTGCTGCGCCCCACACGGCGGTCCCGGGCAACGAGCGCGCGATCAACGCTTCTGCGCAGGCCAACGCTGCGGGCGTCGCCCGCCTCCGACGCGAGCTCTCGGCATGGATTGCTGCACTCATCGCCGTCCACGAAGGCGGGCTGGCCGGAGTTCCCGGCGTTGAGCTTGCCTTTGGCGACGGCTCGGACGTGCTGAGCCAGATTGTCAACCCGCACATTCGCACCCACATCTTTACCGCTCTCCTCGAGCCCGAGCGCTACGTCCCGCTTGGACCGATGCCTGACGTCTGCATCGCGTACCGCGTGTACGAGGAGGCCGCCGCCCGGTTTGTCAACCTCCGCAATTGGTACGTCGCGTTCTCGGTCGGCGTCTCGATGGCCGCCGGCGAGGAGAGTCTTCCGCTCGCGCCCAAGGACGAGGCCATCGAGTGGCTCGGCGGCGTCGACACCAAGCACATGCCTCGCTTTGTGCGGACGCTCGACGAGCTCGAGCACCTTGGCATCATCCGCATTCGCGCCTCCAAGCCGGGGCACGCTGCCAAAGTCATTGTGCGGCACACAGGCTCTGACCTCCAGTAACGCTCCCCCGCACTTTTAGCGCGGTTCATTAGCTCTCACCAAGTGTGGTCCGCGCGAGCTTCATCGCCCGCAGCTTGGACCGAAAGTCGTCCATGTTGACGTACGTTCCCTGCAGGAGGCGCGGTCCCGACGCGGCGTCAAACTCGGTCCGGGCGTGCAGAACGCGGCGGTTGAGGAAGACAACCATGTCGCCCGACTCCATGCGGAACTCGTAGAGGTACGCCGGGTCGCGGACCATGGCGGCAAAGAGGCCGTAGGCCGAATAGAACGCGTCGGCGTTGAGCTCAAAGTCGGGCTTGGCCGAGGCGGTCCGCAGATCGAGCCGCGGCGGGCCCTCAAACTGCGGCGACCAGTTGAAGGCAACCGGTTCGTTGTGCGATGCCGCCTCGATGAGCGGGCGGCGGAAGCGCATAAATTGTCCATCGCGCCGGTAGTGGAAGGTGAGCGGGACCGAGGAGAGGAGCTCGACTGCATCAGGCGCCGCCGCCCGAAGATCCTCCAGGACCCGGAAGCCGTCGACAAAGCCCGAGACGCCGCCAGTGGCCTCGGTCGTGATGGCATGCAGGAGCTGGAGGCCTGGCGGCGACTCGTAATAGCACAAGTCCATGTGCGGCGCGAGCGAGATCGAGGTATTTGCCACGTTGGCAGCCTCGGGCGTCGACTCGACGTCGAACAGCCGGCCGTACATGGTCTCCTTGATGTACGCGATGCGCTGCGCGACGGCCTCGACCGGCCCGCGCTCCGCCGGTACGTTCTTGAGCATGATCAGGCCGCGGTCCGAAAGCGATGAGAGCGCATCGTAGAGTACGTCGTCCGAATCGAGGTAGCTGGCGTAGTCGAGCTCGACCACGCCACCGGCCGCCGCCAGATCGGCGGCGTTCCACGTTGTGGTCGGCGGCTCGTGGCAGACGGCTGGTGGTGGCGGCGGCGCGTACGCGTGCTCGTACAGCCACTCTGCGTCGAGGCGCGAGGTGTGGGCGGCAATGGACCAGCCATCGGGCGAAGCCTCGTCGACTACCATGCCCATCGGCGGATACGACGACGCCAGCGCCGCGTTGCTCCGCCCGCCAAGCCACGGCGGGAGTGGCGTCGGCGCCCAGGCCACCTCGAGCGCCGCACCGGGGCGCACATTGGTGACCTCCAGCGCCGGCGCATTGTAGTCGTACGCGCACATGTTCTTCTGCCCGGACGCCGCGTCCATACACGCATCGCACATGCAGTTGTCGCGGAGCCAGGCGTAGTCGTACTGCGCCGCAAAGCCGTCGTCAAACTCCACCGCCACCTTGCGCTCGCCGGGCACAGCCTCGGCCACCGCCACGCTCAGCGCCCGCGCCCACGCCGCCGCCCGCACCGACTGTGTCACTCGCGCCAGCATGGACAGAGTGAAGTGTTGGAAAGGGCTGGGAGCTGGGAGGGCGAGGGCGAGGCAGCTTGGCTCACAGCTGCCGCGCCGGTCGCCCCGGAGGGATCGTGCTCGCGCCCGCACTCTGCTCTCTCGCCTGCCGCCCATGGACCAGGCGCGGTTTCCCGGCTGGCGCAGGGTGTTCACCCACTACGTCCGTGCCCAGCCCGACCACGCCTCGGCTGCAGCCGCCCTCGACGCCTGCCTCGCCCCGCACGGCGCCGCAGCCGACAAGCCGAGCGCTGCCCGCGACGCCGCCGTCGGTGGGCCGTGTGCGCAGCAGAACGCAGCCTGGTTTGCCTCGGTCCAGCACCACACCCGGACCATGATGGTCGCCGCCCTCGGCGCCGATGGCCTGCGCCAAGAGTACGAGGCCTGTGCCGTCGCCGCCCGCCTCGCCGCGCCTGGACCGGTCCGTCCTGAGCTTCTGCCGGAGCTCCCCGAGTGCGCCGCCTACGCCCAGGCCTGGCTTGCCGCCGCGTCGGACGCTGCCGAGACCATGTTCCCACCGGAGCTTGTCGCCAAGCTCGGCCTTGTCGATGAGAACATGTTTGTCGTTCGCTCTGGCGGCTGGTTCGGCCTCACCTCGGGCACCCTCACTCTTGACGCACCGCGCTTCTTTGACGTCCTCGCCTTGCTCATCCGCGCCGATCCGCTGCCGTAACTGCCGTGGCTGTCGTAGCTGTAGCATCCGACATGCCTCAGCTCACGCTTGCATGGCGCAACCTCGGATCCCGACACCGCACCTTGCGGAATCGATCGTCGCCGGGGTCTGGCCGGGCCACGAACGGCATCGCGCGCAAGCAATGCAACGCCAGCGCAACCTGTGCTACCTGGTCAACCATTGCGAGCGTGCGTTTTGATCATGACCGACCGCAAGTCACCCCGGTTTGCGCACACTTGGATGAAACGTGCCCGGATCATCACATCGGATGTGGCAAGCTGCTCGCCGTTCACTGCGCGCCGTGACTTGGAGGCTGACGTTACCTCTCTCGGCCGTCTCCGCCATGAACATGGACATGCCCGCGCACATGCACATGAACCACAGCATGCACATGGACATGCACATGATGAAGATGTACTTCCACACAGGCACCTACGAGACATTGCTGTTCAAAGACTGGGTCCTCAACTCGGACGGCAAGTACGCCACGTGCCCTTGCCCCCTTATCCCCTTACCCCCCCCCCCTTACCCCCTCCCCCCTCCCCCACTGATACAGGTACTGGGCCGCCGTAGCGGGCGTCTTCTTCCTCACGGCCTTCTACGAGCTGCTTTCGGCCTTCAAGCCCATCCTCGACAACATGCTCGTGCCGGCCGGCAAGGTGGCCGCCGGCGAGCTCGGCGTGGCTCCGGTCCGCATTGCGCCCTGGGCTGTTCAGCCGCTGCGGGCCGCCTACCACACCTTCCAGCTTGCTGTCGCCTACATCCTCATGCTTGTGGTCATGACCTACAACATGGGCCTGTTTTTCGCCATCCTCGCAGGCGCCTTTGTCGGCTACCTCGTCTTCCACCGACGCGTCGGCGTCGTCCGTGCTCCGGGTGAGGAGGAGGCCGACGTTGCCGGCTGCCACTGATGCCGTCCTCCCCCCCCCCTCCCCCCCTCCATTAGTAACAAGTAATAAGGAGTAGCTAACATCAGGGCACCAAAAGGTGCTGATGATCCCGTGACTCCTCCCTCCCTCCCTCCCCCCCCTGGCCCCTCCCCCCCCTCTCTCCCTAACCTGCCAAAGCCGCTCTGCCCACTGAAGTCACGAGACCCTGTACTCCCCCTTCCTCCCCCCCCCAAGCCCCCTCCCGTTGCTGCGCCACACCTCTCCCTCCACCCTTAACCACCCCCCGCACACAACCCACATACCCCCCCTCCTACTTCCTCCATCTCTCTACCCATGGCCTCTGCAGTGCCCATGGCCTCCATGGCCCGCCCCTTTGCCGTCGAAGTACGCCACGCCACGCCTATCAGAGAG